ACCGCCTCAGGCGTGTTGGCAGTGTTAAAAGAGCGATTGAAACACATCCTAACGAGAGAGCCTAACATGGTTTGTTTTGAGTTTCGCTGTTCACGTCTTAGATCCTGCTCTAGGGGCTCTAGTGGTGTCACGAGGCAGCACGATCAGGCTTCGGAGTCGTTTACCTTTCACCTTCTCGAGTATTGCATGAAACGCCGTAGTTCTGGGTGCAAGATCCATATTGATTTGCTCCTAGACCTCCGCTCGGTGTTTTGGGTTGCGTGTTGCAGGGGGACTATGTTGCTTCGCTTTCAAGGCACTTGTGGAGTGATAGCTGAAGCCTCTGAACCACTGATGATAGCGATAGCGCACAATGTTCAATTTTGGGGAAGCCCAGGGCGGCGCGTGGTAACCCAGTCTTGGTGAGATTCCGCCGATTCACTCATTGCTATTTGGTTGGAGGCCATTGCTATTAGGTTGGAGGCCATTGCTACTCCGTGGAGGTCGGCCAAAAAGCACACTCATTTGGTGTTTAAATTCTCTTCACGATGGTAGTCACAGACATCAAACCTTGAAACCATTGCCCTGTCCATCAGGCTGGATGTGCGCCACAAAGAATGGTGTCCGCTTGAGGCCGTGAATTTCACTGCGAACACAAGTGACGATCTATGATGAGCGCTCCATTGTATTTCCTACCCTTTTTCCCTCCTTTACTCCAAATCACTCCGACCTCACTCCATTCCATCAGCTCATCTTGGTGCGTTCCGTTCGGTGGAAGCGACAGCCGCAGGTGGACCTCGTGGGCTCCCGGCGCTATTTCACCGCGTGTGCATGTAGGCTTCGCCTGGTGCCGGGGTACTCAGACCATCTGCAAACCATCTCAGATTCCGCGTCATTGCGGTTTGTCCATAAAAAGGAATCAGAAAGAAGAAAGAAAATCACACTGTTTGTCCATATGTAACTCATTCATGAAGTAGAGCACACTTGAAACTGTGAATTTCCATTCCAGTCCAACACACTTATTTTTGGTCCAGTCTCTCTTCACGTTTGCAAGATTTTTTGTGTTTGTATCTGGGCGCTGGCTCACCAGTGACCAGTGACTAATGCTTATTTGCATCATCATTATACTGTATTTTTCTGTATAATACTTTGTATCAACTAATGGCCAGAAATCCTCTCCATCCACTGTGCCTGCCTGGATGTGCAAACTGATATTGTTCGTTATTTTTTGGTGCTACCCCTGAGTATTTTTGATGCGTTTCTCAGACTGAATCAACCAACTATGCTTGGGGGCACTTCCTTCTGCATCCGTTTTTCCTCAGTTTTGTTCAGCTGAGCAAGAATTTGCGCACCGCTTTGCATTGACATTTTCGAACACCCTGCGCTGCCGTGCTCCCAGGGAGAACGTGGACGGTGAGCTGAAGTGTGCGATTTGCTAGAACTGAGCTGGCAAAAGCGGCAGTCTAACTGTTGTCTCGATGCTTCATCAGGGTTGCCAGGAAGTGTGTGAAGTAGAGCTCCCCGGTCCGCGACAAAAGGTATATGCATTCATATACATGATATGTATAGTACAGCCATAGTTTGCTTGAAAGCACGATACTATTGTCGTTTGCTCAAGCCCTACATTGCTCCGAATCTGAATGACTTAATGAAACAAGGTTCAGTTGAGTCGTGTTCAATGGCGTTCACATTCTATTTGCACTGTCTCGTACTTCATTCAGGCAGCCGACTGCCATGCACTAGTGGTCTGCATGTTCACGAACTTGGTGGTTGCAATCTCTACGAAAAGGAGGAGTTGGTCAGCTCTTGCATTCCGGCATTGAGCGATTTACGCTACATAGTCCGAGGCTGTTGTGGCCCAAGAGGTAAGGACAAGAAGCTTGGACTAGGCTTGAAACTTTACACGGTCCATTCACCTTGGCGACCTGAAGCCACTGCGACTGCTCATTACCAGGACCAAGTGTATATAAGTGTGAGCAACACTGACCACCAGTTTAGATTCAACAACCAGTGAACTTCAGTGACTTACTTGGAATCAACGGCCAATGGTCTCACCGGGCCTAGGGCCCCTTGGAGCTATGCTGAACTGATCAGCCCACATTAGCATGGCTAGTGCGCAACGGTTGATCAGCCTGAACATTCAGCAAAGAGACCTTGTCCCGTGTGCAAATCTAGCTTCATTAAACCGACCAATCTAGCCTCACTGCTCATCATGGTGCACACTATGGAGTCGCCCCAGGCAGTTTCTGCGAGTCTATCCTCTTTGACAATGAGGGTAGGTGAGTTGGAGTGTTATGGGATGTAAGACCGAGAGGATGTCAACGTTTTGGGGATCACAGGAGGCGTTCGAACGGCTTCGACAAGCCCTCAACGTGCCTGGGCTGCGAAGCTGACAGTTCCACAATGGTCATGCGCGAATGAAAACGATTCTGCTTGTGCAGCTTAACACGCCTTTCAGTTTGCTTAATTTGGTATCGCCCTCAGTAGGGTTGACAGACACACTTATGATTTGGTGTACTGACTTGACAGCGGTGCCACACGCCAGCCTAAGTTT